TTATAACGAATACATCGGAAGAATTTATCAAATGTCGTCTTGACAATTTTTCAATGAGTTTTATACTACAGGGTGTCCCACGAAACATGACAATAGCAAGACGACTTGAAAGTCGTTAAAGGGTTGTTAAAAATACAAGTTTTTTCATTAACAAATTATTATTCTTCTACATTTACTCTATAGGTTGATTTTTCTTCATAATATATTTTTATAAATTGTTCATTTGATATGAATCATTAGAGATGTTTTCTTATTTACACACAGCAGGCCTTATACTTTTAAGCCTTAGACCAATATTTGTTTTGCAGTCGAACGTTATAGAAGATTAAGTTTTGCAATATGGTCGGTTATACAAGTTTAGGCTTTTTTAAGTACGAATTAGGTAACTCAAGTTGGTATACAATACAAATTTTACAAGTTCAGTTTTTGGTCAAAATTCGAGGTCAAGCTACCATGAAAGTTTTGTTTTAGCAATACTGAGACATAAGTGACAAACCTTTTCAAACAACATTGTTCAGTATTGCATATAAGAAATAAAAGTTACAATTCATTTTCGTTCCCAAAAGAATACTTATTTATATAATTTTTTAAACTTTATTTTACCAGTTTATAACAAACCTTTACTTGAACATTTTTTTTAGAGTTTTTTGGAAATGTTTGGAGTTTCTTCATGGTCTCAGGCTGGCAGATGCCTTTATTACAACCCAGGACCACGTCAGCAAAGGTAAACAGAATACAACAATGTAGCTGATTGTCGTCTTCCTTTCTTTGTTTTAGAGTGGAAATTTCGCTGAGAATATTGGTTTTTTTTTACCAAATTTTTTTTTAGAAAAATGTCAGTTAAATTTTCAAAAAATAGAAAATTCTGAGCCAAAGGAAATGAGTTTTACCAGAAACTCTGATTTTCTAATCCTTATATCTGTGCACCCCAATATCGTAAACCTTTTACTTTTCAAACTGTGAATTCTGTTAGATTAAAAAGTCTTAGTTTGAAACAACATCAGGTTGCAAAAATAAAGAAATCGGAAAATTAGAGTTTCTGGCAAAAACTGAATTTCTTTCATAAAAGCATTGAGGGGTTACAATGTGTGTATTCTGTAAGGGGAAAGGTATGGATATCTGAATGCAATATTGAGGGGTTACAATGTGTGTATTCTGTAAGGGGAAAGGTATGGATATCTGAATGCAATATTGAGGGGTTACAATGTGTCTATCATATGAGGGGAAAGGTATGGATATCTACATGCAATATTATGTTTTTAGATTTTAGTTTTGAGCAGTTTGTTTCTGGGAATGATGAGTTACAGTTCCTATTCTGGAGTACTTGTCTCCAATACCCTAGAGGGAAGGGTAGATGTAGCGGTCAACACCTTTCAGGAAGCCATGGATACTGATCACACGGTAAACATTTAAAAAGTGTTGTTTCACAACCGTAACCTTTAAACTTTTGCTTGTAAAGGATAATGGACTTATTAAGAAACACGTATTCAAAAGTTTTTTTGCAAGCTGTTACATATTTAAAAACATTAGAATTTTTTTTTAAACGTCTCAGCAAAAAATATTCAATTTTCTCAAATCACGTTGGACAAAGAATATTTAGTTTTTCGGAGTTCTCTGCATGAACCGTCAATTAAAGGTTTAAAGGGTACCATGGTGTAAATCTATCAATTCCTCTTTTTGCATGAAGAAGCACATTAAATTATAATATGTTTATTTTCAGATATATGCCTACTACGGATCAATAGGAAAGACATAAACAATTAATGCTATATTTTTCTATTTTATTTTTAAAAATAGTGGTTCACGTTTATATGTGTAATCTGCCCGTTAATTGCTCCTTAAATATAGGGGTAAAATAAATAGATTAATATTTCGTTTCCAACAGATAACTGAACGTTCAGACTAATTAACGAAATAAATAATAACATTTTTCCATTCTTTCATGCCATTTTTCTATAAAAACCTTTAAGAATTGTTTTCCGATTCTACATCGAATACATATAACGAATACATCGGAAGAATTTATCAAATGTCGTCTTGACAATTTTTCAATGAGTTTTATACTACAGGGTGTCCCACGAAACATGACAATAGCAAGACGACTTGAAAGTCGTCTTTGATATTTGAATTTAATTGTGACATTTAGTCTTCTATCTACTTTAACATGTATGATTCTTGAAACAATTATCACATAATTCTCCTAGCCCTGGCATTTCCAAAAAGTGGTCTGCGTTTTTTGTGCTTTCAATATTACCGGAGATATAAAGAGTTTGGTTCAGATTTCAATTTTGTTAAATAAAAGCAAAATTGTCGAAATCTAAACGAAATTGTTCATATCTCGGGCAATATTGAAAGCACAAAAAATGCAGACCACATTTTGGAAATGGCAGGACTAGGGGAATTTTGTGATTATTATCTCTAGAAATTTACTTCTAAAATTAGGTTGACAAATAAATGCAGCAAATTATATAAAAAATCAAGACGACATTCAAGGCCTCTTGCATACTGTCATGTTTCGTGGGACACCCTGTATATTACGTAAATTTCAGTATTTGCGAAAATAAATAAATAGCCATGAATATGCGGGAACAGTTTTAAAGAGCTCCATATAATCATTTAATTAAAAAACTAAATATCTGCAACATTCCATTATCAGAAAGTAAAGAATACGACATTTGATGAATTCTTTCGATGTATTCTTTATTAAGGGTTTCACTGTGTATAGAAAATTTGGGCATAACGTTTTAAAGGACAGTTGATATTTTTATTCTTTTAAACGAATTGTTTATTGTTCTAACAGGAGCTGACGTTGCAGATGCATATAAGGTAAACTTTTCATTAACTTAGTTTAGATTAAATATCAGAGGGCGGAACTTGTGTGTGAAGAATTGTGAATCTTGATCGCGTGATCTCGATATCCAAGGATGTATGGGCACTTTGAATTTAAGGATACATTCTTGATCCCTTGAAGTAATCCCTGCAGGGTATGATCATCAATGGATATAAAAGAGGAATCAAAATAATTGCACAAAATGGAGATCAATTACTTGATCCAAAAATCCACAACACAAAAGTTTTAAGTTCCATTTTGATATTTGTTTTTGTGTGAAACATTTTTTTTAAATGTTGGAATTCCAAGTTAATCTTTTCTGAAATTGAGATACAATGTAATTAACGTTTTGATTTTTGTAAATAACTGGACATTTATAATGATATTTTTTAGTACTGTTCAACAACAACAAACTCACAGTTAAAACAAATAATAGTATTTTTTCTTGTTTTAAATGTGTCCTTCTTCATTTCAATAGCGATAAAAATTACAAAAAAACATGCAAGATAAATTGTAAAAGACGACATTTTGAAAAACCTTCAATTATGATGTTTAGGCGACACATCCTGAAATATCATCAAATATAAAATATTTTGCAAATGGAACTCTAGAGGAACGGTTGGAACTGATCAGGTACAAACAAGGGTTTCCAAATAATGCTACATTTTACAATATAATCTACAGTGCATGCAGTGGTCCCCGAAAGACTTTGATTTTTAAAGATGAATTTAAAACTAAAGATATGGTTAAAAACGGTACAATTAAAAATATTTGTTTTTTAATTTAGACGGAGAAAAATAAAAATTGCCAATAATACTTTCCAGAAACTTACAGTCTTCAACATACAGGGTGCCCCACGAAACATGACAGTTGGTAAATAGTTGTCATCTTCCATACACTGTATTAGATAGTAAAGGTTTTATGCAGTTCTCTGAAATTAATTTTGCAATAACATGACTCCTATATAATGTTTTTTTTTATTGTCTTTGGTATTAAACAATTAAAAAATTATGGAAGAAGACATTCTAAACTCTTTACCAACTGTCAAGTTTCGTGGGACACCCTGTAGTATCTGAAGGGGTTCCCACTAAAAATGACAGTAAAAGATATCAATCACAACGACGGTACAGTACCCTTGAGACCGTTCACCTAGCAATATAATTTGAAAGATATTGTCACACAGTGATAACCAAAAAACTTTGAAATATAAAGACGACCTTAAGAATCAAGTTATAATTTTAAAAAGTCTTATGAGCATGAGATACAGCAATCGTGCAGTGCAAACAGACCCATTTATCAAAAAAGTGATTATTAAACATAGACTTAGTCTACTTATAAAAAGTGCTTTTCTGTAGCCCTATACATGTTTATTTTTGCACTATTAAGCACTTATTGTTAGCTTTGGCTTTTAAGAAGTGATTGGAAAAATTCTCATCGATATTTGTTTGAGAGCTGGAGACATTTAAATCACGGTGAATAAGGGTCTAGTAAAACTATTTGCTTGTTAAAACATCAAATTCACTTAATGAATTTCTATAATTTCGCCTTCATCTTCCATTGTTTTCTGGTTATCACTGAATAATAACAAACTTTTCCTTTGTGTGTGTTCGAATTGATATATTAATATTTAAGGTCCACGAGTGGAGGAGCAACATTGGTACCAGGGGAGGATTTTGCTGAAGTTTATATAAAAAAACAGAAGGTGAGAAAATATACCAAAATAATTATTATATTTCAAAATAATGAAATTAAATACATTTCATGGTTGTCTGAATATCATCTATTAAAAGTTTTAAAACCTTAAAGATAATATTTTATTTAAAAAAAAATGATTTATTTAGGGAACTTGTGATCTCGGTCGAAGCAAGGAAGCAGTGACAAGTACTGTTCCCTACGCTTTTGTAGTAAACCGTGGGTTTGCCCTTGAGCATAAAATCAACAAAATTATTCAACTTATGGAAGAATCCGGGATACTACGGTATATCCAGAACTCTAGAATATCCAGGTATACTCTATACTAATACTAGGATACTACGGTATATCCTAAACTCTAGAATATCCAGGTATACTTTATATTGATACTAAGATACTACGGTATATCCAGAACTCTAGAATATCCAGGTAAACTCTATACTGATACCAGGATACTACGGTATATCCAGAACTCTAGAATATCCAGGTATAGTCTATACTGATACCAGGATACTCGGTATATCCAGAACTCTAGAATATCCAGGTATAGTCTATGCTGATACTAGGATACTGCGGAATATCCTGAACTAATTAAACTTATTAGAAGAATATTGTGAAAAGGGTTAAAAAGCAAATTTGTTTGCAAAACAAGTTTGACATTTTCAAATCCAAGATTATGAGATCAAATATGAAAAAATATCATAAAAAATTTGTATTTATAATATTTATCTAGACTTGAAGATGTTGAACGCCAGCACTGCACCCTCCGCCAGCAGTATGAACGGCTTGGTCTGATTTCTCTCCTTGGGTTCTTCCTGATCCTCGGAGCAGGGTTTATCACAGCTCTTCTTATTCTAGGAGCAGAGAATATATTCAAGTTTGTCAAGAGTCACGTATACAAAAGCAGAAAATTTGACATAGAGATGAAGATATGATGTTATAATTTTTATAAAAAAATAAATGATAAAATATTCTTTAATTTAAAAAAAAATCTATTAGGATTTGATGACAATAGTAGTCTCAAACACTATTTATTACTAATAAGTACAAAGTGATCAGACTATAATTAAAATAGTCTAGTATAGTTTGAACTAGGCTGAGTACATAATAAGAATAGTCTAGTATAGTTGGAACTAGGCTGAGTACATAGTAAGAATAGTCTATTATAGTTGGAACTAGGCTGAGTACATAATAAGAATAGTCTAGTATAGTTAGAACTAGGTGGAATATATATTAAGAATAGTCTAGTATATAGTTTGAACTAGGTTGATTATAAATTAAATAGTCTAGTATAGTTTGAACTAGGCTGAGTACATAATAAGAATAGTCTAGTATAGTTTGAACTAGGTTGAATATATATTAAGAATAGTCTAGTAGGCTCAGCTACATTTTGCCTAGTCACATTTTGCCTAGTCACAACTTGCCTAGTCTCAACTTGCCTAGTCACATTTTGCCTAGGTAACAGTTTGCCTAGGTAATATTTTGCCTAATAACATTTTGCCTAGGGTAACATTTTGCCTAGAGTAACAATAGAGCTAATTTTTTGCCTAGTCAATAATTTTTTCACAAAGAAATTTTCAACAATCCGAGAATTTTTTTCAAAAATCTGCAACTTATTTCGCAAATTTTTAAAAATAGTTTAATTTTCTATAAACCAATCAGATCGAAAGACACATTGAAAATGGCTCCCATGATAACTGCAGGGCTTACCAAATTCGGGGTAAATCCAACTACAGGGAAAAGAATAACTTCTCCTATGTTTTCGATGGGAAGAGGGCAGAGACCAAGAAATGGCGCTGTTCTTGCACTGCAACCCTAACAACGAGGATTTCTATTGGAAACCTGGTAGGGGATGTACTCCCAACCTATGGTCCCATACCAACAAGCTGCTGGAGACGAAAGCTAAGACCACAGAAAAGGCTGTGATTGAGAAATAAGATAAATAATGATACCTATCTATACTCCATGATGTAAACTGTAATTAAAAAATATATATATATCTGATCTATAACCATATTTCATCTGTTGTAGAGTATAAAAAATGTTAAAATTGCTGGACAAGATACAATTCAATTGTTCTATAACATTTAATTCAGTAAAATTTAACTGGTTAAGCTTAGAAAAAATGTTTAATTTTTGACAAAATTTGTTTTAAAAAAAACGCAATAGGCAAAAAACATGCTCTTGTGTTACCTAGACAAAGTGTTACCCTACGCAAAATGTTACTAGGCAATCTTGAACTAGACAAAATGTTACCTAGGCAAGAGTGAACTAGGCAAATTGTGACTAGGCAAAATGTAGCTGAGCCGTCTAGTATAGTTAGAACTAGGTTGAGTATATGTTAAGAATAGTGAAGTATAGTTAGAACTAGGTTGAATATATTTTAAGAATAGTCTAGTATAGTTTGACCTAGGTTGAATATATATAAAGAATATCTAGTATAGTTAGAACTAGGTTGAATATATATTACTAGAAATTCAAGGCGCTTCGCGCCCTTCTTTCTAGCCTTAGAGGGCGCTTCGCGCCCATCTCCTAAATTAATTGTGAACATGTTCTCTTTGTGTACATCGTAAAACAAAACAAAAATAATTCGCGGATTTTCACAAAAAATTTCGCGGATTTTCAAAATTTTTAAAAATTTAATGACNAATGTTAAATTAAAATTTGGACCCGATCGGTTCAGCCGTTTTGACGTTTATTGGATACAAACAAACAAACAAACAGACAAACAAACAGACAGACAAGCCAAATTTATATATAGAAGAATAGTCTAGTATAGTTTGAACTAGGTTGAATATATCTTAAGAATAGTCTAGTATAGTTTGAACTAGGTTAAATATATATTAAGAATAGTCTAATATAGTTACAACTAGGTTAAATATATATTAAGAATAGTATAGTATAGTTTGAACTAGGTTGAATATATATTAAGAATAGTCTAAAATAGTTAGAACTAGGTTAAATATATATTAAGAATAGTCTAGTATAGTTTGAACTAGGTTAAATATATATTAAGTATAGTCTAGTATAGTTTGAACTAGGTTGAGTATATATTAAGAATAGTCTAGTATAGTTACAACTAGGTTGAATATATATAAAGAATAGTTCACTATAGCTTGAACTAGGTTGAGTATATATTAAGAATAGTCTAGTATAGTTACAACTAGGTTCAATATATATTAAGAATAGTTTACTATAGCTAATATATATTAAGAATAGTCTAGTATAGTTTGAACTAGGTTGAATATATATAAAGAATATTCAAGTATAGTTTGAACTAGGTTAAATATATATTAAGAATAGTCTAGTATAGCTTGAACTAGGTTGAATATATATTAAGAATAGTCTAGTATAGCTTGAACTAGGTTGAATATATATTAAGAATAGTATAGTATAGTTTGAACTAGGTTGAATATATATTAAAAATAGTCTAGTATAGCTTGAACTAGGTTGAATATATATTAAGAATAGTCTAGTATNCTTGGAAGAAATAGCCAAATGTTCCAATCAGTATGCTCTGACAAAAAGTGGTGAGCTTTCTGGAATCAAGAGCAGTGAGATCAAAGTGTTCTTTGGAATACTATTACTTTCTGGAAACAATAGCCTAACAAACTATGAATTGTCTTGGAGTAACTCTTTAGATGGTGGAAGGAAAGTGTGCACACGCAATGTAGGGCTAATTGGAGATCATGAAATTTGCTATGCTGATAGCACCTTCTCATTGTAAGAAAGAATCACAGATCTAGATGTGCATTAGAAGGTTCAACAGAGTGTCAAACTTAATATGATAAGTGTGATAGAGCCATTTGCTTTGACCACTTCTTCGGGTTTCACGTAAAAGGATGGTGTGAATAATATGTTTTTTTTTGTTTTTTTGCATTATTGTTTTTTAGTAATATTTGAAAATAAAGAGTATTGTATTGTTGGGTAAATAATAGTTCCTATGGCCATTTATATAACATTTTAGTTAATTAATTTTGCCTTTCTCATAAATTTAGGAAAAATTCTCTAAACCCGCCCTGCAGCAACTGTGGTGACTTATAAGGCCACTCTTAAAATCCCTAAAAAAACACCTTTAAAATTTTTTTTTTGCATTTTTTACTTTTTTTCCTTGATCTAACCAATAATAAGTATTCTTAATCAAATTTTCAAAGAAAAATATAAAAAAAATTCTTCAGCCGCTAGTGGGTTAAGAATATTCTAGTATAGTTTGAACTAGGTTCAATATATATTAAGAATAGTCTAGTATAGTTAGAACTAGGTTCAATATATATTAAGAATAGTCTAGTATAGTTACAACTAGGTTAAATATATATTAAGAATAGTCTAGTTTAGTTTGAACTCGGTTGAATATATATTAAAATATTCTACTATAGTTAAAACTAGGTTGAATATATATTAAGAATAGTCTGCTATAGTTACAACTAGGTTCAATATATATTAAGAATAGTCTAGGAGAGTTTGAACTAGGTTGAATATATATTAAGAATAGTCTAGTATAGTTAGAACTAGGTTGAATATATATTAAGAATAGTCTAGTATAGTTAGAACTTGACAT